GGAGATGGGTCTGCCCCAAGCCTGGCGCCTCCCGCAGACTAAGGAGATGGACACCGACTGCAGAGCCCGCTTCGCTTCCTAAGCCTTCTCTGGGTCTTTCCTTGGAACCGATTTCCATTCGGTTCCCCATCCGCAGCGGGGATCCCGCACCCGAACGCCAATCGGCCACCGCAGTTTGTGCTTGGAAGGAAGCGAACGCCCTAAAGCCCAGTTAAATACCGTGTTATGTTTTGCTAATTGTGGCGGGGCTGCTAATTGAGATAATGGCCAATCAAGGTATTTCATGGTAAGCGGAGCCCGACTGAATCCCATGGAGCCTCCGAATTACAACCCCCTCCCCGACATACACGCGTGACTCCATCCCACGCCAGCTATTTCCCTGGACTCGAGAGTTGACTCTGCTAAGACCTCCCGGAGCCTCCTCCCTTTCCCCAGCAGGCATTGATGGGGACGGAGGGGTGAGTCTAGACAGGCAACAACGGATGAGGAAGACCCAGAGCCTCACGTCTATATATAATCATAATAAAAACCCCCCAGACACAGCTTTGGCCAGAGCTCTCAAGGAACCATCCAGCGAGGCAAAAGGAAACAGTTTTCTGTAGCCCGGGCAGGCTGTGAACAATAAATCATACAGTTAGAGTTTTATTGCCTTTATTTTATATCTACAGACCGTCGCGCCAACAAGCAGCCTCTGTGTGTGTGTGGGGAGGGAGAGAGCGTGTTGTGTAATGTGTGTCTATGGACTCAAGGAGGCATGATCCAAAGTTACCACTCGATCTGTTCCGAGAGAGCCAATATCCGCGGGAGCTGCTGTGGCTTTAAATGCCAGTAAGGGCTGGCTTTGCATGCAGGTCAGGTGGGTACTCCAAGCCGCTTGCACGTGGACCACGCACGTGGCAGGCAAGGCCAGTGATCCCAAGGCGTGGTGGGGTTGTATTTGCAGGGTCTCTGGAGCCCGGTAATGAAACCGGCACAGATTTCGAAGTCAAGGGCGCGTTTGCCAGTAGAGCATGGGCGTGCGTCTGGGGACGCGGCTGTGAGACAAAACACGAGCTAGAAGAAGGATTCTGCGTTTCATGAAACGGTAAAGACACACCCAGAGAGTCAATGTATTAAAGAAGCATCCATTAAATGCGCAGCTCCCACTGTGTGGAGAACCGCCCCCCCCCCCAAAAAAAAAGAGAGAGAGAGAAAGACTCCACCCCAATAATGCATCCTGTGGATACAGCCGAGAAAGTGAACATGACGAGATCTGTAGCTTTCTCCGCAAGTTTCTATTCTGGCAACCCCTAGAGACGAACATGATTTTCCTCTCTCTCCCCCACATACTAATGACAATCATCAAAGCTGCTTACAGCAGACGCCAGTCTGTTGCTTACCTTGTTTTTTTCAATCCCACAAGAGATTAATGCTAAAAAAAAAATAACCGACAGTGTCTCTGTTTATTGGGGGGACGCTAACTTTCTGCAGTCCTGTGACCAAAAAAACAACAACAAGTGTTCTCTTCTGTAGTGAGCTGCACATGTATATATAAACGGCGAGAGAGAAATACATTGGCTTGTTGGTCTCATTAGATAGACAAATGCAAGAGAAAACTGACGAGAGGGAAAAAGCACCTTTCCTTTAGAAAATCAACAAGGAGTCCAGTTTTTGTGGATACAGACTAATACGGCTACCCCCCGATACCCTTGCCTTTAGGTCACCCATCAGAGCTTAAATGATAACACAGCTGAATCTAACGACCAGATCTGCAAAGCAATGGTAAGTTTTAGAAATCAAATGAGAGGAATGAACAGTGTATACTACAGATCTGACACAGAGTTCTGATCACAGTAGACCAGTGGTTCTCAAACTTTTGTACTGGTGACCCCTTTCACACAGCAAGCCTCGGAGGGCGACCCCCCTTATAAATTAAAAACACTTTTTAAAACATTTAACACTATTATAAATGCCGGAGGTGAAGCGGGGTTTTGGGTGGAGGCTGACAGCTCGCGACCCCCTGGGAGGGTCACGACCCCCAGTTTGAGAACCCCTGCAATTGATTTTCCTTTAGCCTGCTTATTAAAATGTCATATTTATGCTGGCACTAGCTTGCTCGTCCTCTCCCTAAACGCATGTGACGTCAATATGTAAATTCCTTTACAAAGATCCTAAAAAAATCCATCCCACTAATCAGGTGCCATGCCATGATTATCTGTACGCGGGGCTAATTTGACAAATGCATTATATTTCCCCCCTTTTCAAGAGTAAGAAAGTAGAAGCTGTGGGCTAAAGTAGTTTGGATACTGTTTTGATATAATTGTTGCCTCGGCATAGTATTTCTCTCTGTCATAAGTAAAAACACCAGAGAATAAAATAAAATAGATGTGAACCAGTTACTTTTATATTATAAAGCTTATTAAAGAGTTAGCAACCAATGTATAATCAGATGCAAGTTACTAAACTGGTGGTTTTGGCCAACCAGAAAAAAAATCCTTTGTTATGGAAGTGACCTTAATTAAAAAAATATGAGTTTTATTCTGAAGTACTTTCTCGTCCAGAATATGTTCAGGAAAAGGACACAATGCTAGATTCTGGTGCTAGATTCTGCAGTCAATTGGGACGTGTCGTTCTAATTTTGCCAACAAAAACTTTCCAGATCGTAAAATGTTAAAATGTTCTCGTGTCAATTTCTTGTTTAGGCGTCGTGGGGAGAGGAGTTTGGGGGGGGGGGTAAGACTTTATTTTCTGAATCTTTGCTTTTGGACAGTGTCCACTTAGCCAAAAGAGGTCCCTGCTGATTGCAATCACTTCATGCGTGTGGCTTCATTGCCTCGTGGAAATATATTCCCCTGAACGAATCAATTTTTCCTTCCTCCCACTATTTTTTTTCTCTGTTGGCTGCGTTTCTTTTTTAAAGTCTTCTCCCGTCTGAGAGCACCTTGAAGTGTAGAAGAGACTCGATCCAGAGCAACATCAGCAACAGCTGTTGACGTAAAGAAAACCTGGCTGCTCACATGAAAAAAAAAGGGAACAACAGAGAGAACTTTTGAGGTTTTAAGAGGCAAGATAAAGTTACCGCAAGGCCCAGAAATACACTTCGCCAGCATTTGGCGCCTCCTCACAGCAAACTTCCGCTGATTACAGCTGCAAAATAGAAACCGATGACGCCTTCTGGTTTAAGATCGAAAACCAAACACCCCATCTGACAGCACAGGAGTAACTGACAAGGAGCGGCAAATAACCCTGGGAAGTCTAGAGCCAATAAACAGGGACAAGTGATACTTTTTGATGCAGTGGGAATCACATAAAAATGTAGCAAGACAATAGGCTGAAAGGGGTATCCTGGTCATCATAGGCACTTAAGGTTTGCGTTTTTAAATACATATCGTCGACACGTGTTATGTGTATACATCTTTGTGAGTGTGTGTAATTCTAGAGCTTGATTCAGTTCTGCCCTTCGCCTCACGCCTTCATTTAAACCCCCACCACGTGTACAGTCCCTTCGCACTCCTGTCAATGAAGACACGAGGTAGAGAACAAGGCTAAAACTGACCCCGACGGCTTGGGGCGCAAACAGGGATGGGAATGAAATTGACAAGGCAAGTCGAAGTCCTGCTTCCCCTTGGATAACCCGCTCCCCCTTTGGCAAAGGAGAAAATGAAAGGAGAAGTAAAGGAGTGGAAAGGTCTTTAGAAAACCCACCACGAGGCAGATCTAACAAAACGAAGCGAATGGGAATATTTGAAAATCTGGTATCGAACACAGGGATGGTCGCATGGTAGTAAGAATTATAAAGGGTAACAGTGAAAAGGGGCACGGGGGGAGGAGAAAATCTAAAGTCCTGCCTCTGTGGTTTAAAAACAAATGCAGGGAAGGAGACGGGTTATTTGTCTCTGAAGGCTGGACTTTCCCAAACTTCAGCGGAGATCGTCTCCAAAGAAATCACACGAAGTTGCCGACAGCGGGTCTTTGTGCTTGGAACTTAATGCGTTGGGTTTGAATCAAAATGTTCGGGGGGAGGGGGGCGAGAATCAAGCCACGTCCCTTCACAACAAATCCCTCAAATTGTCTCATTTCATCCCTGGCTCCTTTGCTTTATTTGAGTTGATTCTTTTTATTCGTGAGCCTGTTTCTTGTTTTAAGAGAGACCGCAACAGTCGTCTGGGAGGGAGAATAAAGACGTGCGGGGTGTGTGTGCAGAACTGGACAATCTGGAATATCCCTGTGTCTCTGCCTTCTAGGATATGTCACCGCCTTTTAAATCTATTTCCCTTCATGGTGTACTCTAAGCAATGCCTGGCTGGTCTGTGAATGGATACAAAGCGGAGAGCCAGGGGGAGAAATATATATACACACACGCATATATTTTTCCTTGTGCAAAAAAAAAAAAAAATCGTTTGCTTCGAGATTGTAACGAAACAGAACATAACTTGCTATGACACTAGATTATCTGCTATTTTTTTTTCACCTTCCCCAGACATGAACGGCAAAATCCGGGAGCAGAAGGGCCGGGTCTCATCAGCGACCCCTCCCTCCCACCGATTTCTTCCCGCTTATGATTCCGATTGATTGCCAGCCCCCTGCCCCTCTTCCCCCCCCCCCCCATGGAGGGAAAAGCGTAGCTGCTTTTGTTCCGATTGGAACCTCATGTTTCGTAGCTTTCCCAGGTTTCACGACTGCGGCTGGGTATCTGGGCTGGGGTTTGCCTCGGCGGATGCTGCCGGTTGTGTATTGTCAGGATGCTCCGGGGGGTGGATGCCTAAGGGGGGGGGGAAACAAATCTCAGTTTTTGTCTCCCCCCCCTTGCACCTCAGCCCCTTTGCAAACACCCTAAAGGAATGAGATCACGTGAGGCAAAAGGGGGCGGGGCCAAGCTCTTGTCTGGAAGGAAAAAAAAGCCATTTTGTGCCCCCCCCCCCCCCTAACGGATCCCATCAGCAGCTACACAGCGGCGTTTCTTCCAGCTCCGCCGCTTTGGAAAAAAAAAAAAAGGAAAGGAAAGAAAGGGGGGGCTTGGGGGAGCTCGCTGTTTTCCCAACCCTGCTCGTCCCCCCCCTGAAAAGATCCGGGATCAGGTAGGGACGCACCTCCCCCTACAATCCCTTTTGCCCTGTGGGGTGTTGGGGGGTGGAGGGGGAGGGAATAGATCTCTCCCTCCCGCCCCCCTCCAGGGAAGGACTCGAGTCTGCGGGCCATGCTGCAAGCTCCCTGCCTCGGCTTCTGTGACATCCTCTGTCTTTCGGGGGTTGGTTTTTCTTCCTTCCTTTTCTATTTTTCCGCTCTCTCTCTCTCTCTCTCTCTCTGCTTTCAAGATGGCCGATCGGTTTATTTGCTATCCATCTCCTGCCTGGCTTCCTATCTTTCTCTTTGTGCTGCTGCTGGTTTTCTGGCAGGGTCGGGGTGGGGGAATTTGCATGAGATCCCTTCCCCGCCCCAGACATGGCAGTTCACCCCCCCTCCTCCCCCAACCTCTCCACTCTCTCCCCCAGCCGGGGAGGGTGTCTGCTCCCCCGTGCCCGCTCGCTTGGCTTCTTCCTCCGGCGGCTGGCTCTTGGCAGCGGCCGCTGATCTCGCCTCCTTCTCGCTCTCCAGTTGGCACGCCTAACTTTTTGGATCCCTTCTCTTCCCCCCCCCTTTTTTTTCTTTGGCCCCAACGCAGGGAGGCTGGCAGCTGGGCGGGGGCTGCCCCGCTGTGTGGGGGGCAAGGGAGACGGGGGTCTGGGGAGAGGGAACCGGCTTTGACAGCACCCTGCCAAGCCCGACCCCCTCCCCCAAGAGCCCCCAGGAACTACCCCACCCCGGGGATCGCCACATTGTAGGCGCGCAAAGGGCAAGGGGCGCGCAAGACATGCCCAAGGGCGCATGGACGTGGGTGGCTGGGGGGGGGGTGTCTTAGGAACTGAGATGTTAGAGCAATATGGCGCGGTTTCTCCACGGTTGGACAGAAAATGAATGTGGGGAAGGTTTTGTGTGTGTGTGTGTGGGGAAGGCCCCCAAGTTTACGAGACAGAGATTGTACTGTGCCGATGCGCCCCCCTCGGGCTGGGTGGGGATTCCAGGGTCTGGGATCCAACCCCAGAGGGGACCGACAGAGAGAAGAGGGGTGTGTGTGTGTGTGTGTGTGGAGAGGAAGGGGGTCCTTGTTATTCTGTCATTCCCGAAGTCATCTGGGTCCCATCCGCTCGTGTGAAAACAAATACATAGAAAGCAAAATAATGTGCCACCCCCACCGCTCCAAAATAAAATAGAGGTGGCCACCAGGGGTTTGCCAGGAGACCCTCGTGGGGGAGGGGGTGGGCGTGAAGTCGTTGCAACAGAGTCAAGGGGAGCTGCTGGGGGGGGGCATCTTTCATTTGGTTTTAATTGTCGCGATGTTTTGCGAATCAATATGGAAGTCCAACGAAGCGATCTGAATGGGGCTCAGTTTCCTACATCAGAAAGAGAGAAAGGAGAGGTAGGAATTACAATCCACTTTGCAATTCATCTCACCCGCGACCCCCGCAAGCAAACAAACAAACAAAAACCCATTTAGATCCCGTCAGGGTCTTTTTTTCTTTTCTGTCTTTCTCCCTCCCCAACTACGTGTGGACACCTCGCAGCTAATTAGCGCGGATCGCCCCTCCATGCCTGATGAATAATAGATTGCAATAGAATATCAAAATGAGCCCACAGCTCGGCTTGGGGGGGGGGGGGGGTGGCAGGAAAGTGGCTCTCCCTCCCCCCCTTTTTCCATTTCGCCTTTTTTCATTAAAGGGGGGCATTCTTCTTACTTTGGGACAGAATAAATAAACAAATAAAATAAAGAATTCCCAACCCCTCCAAGATTCAAAGAGAAAAAGCCTCTCTTGCTATACCTTTCCCTCCAGAATTCAAGGAGGGAGTTCTTGTGTATGGATACATTTATCTATATTCCCCTTCCCATTAAAGAGTTACTTTCTCTTTGTCTATGGAACTCTTTCTGGAGGGGAGGGGAATGTGTGGGATAGAGGGAAGGTTTTTGGGAGGGGAATGTGTGGGATAGAGGGAAGGTTTATAATTATGGAGGTCCCTTTCTCCTTCTCCAGTTTAGCCATCACCTCTTCCATAGAGCTGTGTGTTGGAAATATTCCTCCCTCACCCCAGATTGTATTATCATCATTATTATGGAGCGTCTGCGCACAAAGCCTGCTTTGTTCGGAGAAAAAGATGCATGAAATAACCCTTGTGTAACCAAGAAAAAAAAAATCACTGCAAAGGGGATTGATGTTCTGTTTGATATTGATGAGGTAGGAAGGGGAGAAATCTCGTGTCGAGGAAGCTTTGGTAGTAGTGAGCCAATTCTTGAGGGGAATGGACTGGTTTTGCCCTTGGAAATCGGAGCCCTGAGTTCTAGGTTCGCCATTCTTTGCAGAGTGTCCCAGGAGTCGTGCTCGCGTGGCTGGTCTTTAGGCGGGATGGATCCAACTTGTGAATGGAAGGAACCCCGTTCCATTGGAGAACGTTGGGACCGTTTCTAGTGGCCGGGGAGGTGTCGGTGTATTTGTGCTTCCTCTGCGGAGAGGACAACCCACGGGGCTTTTCTCGCGTGGGTTCGAGGGTTGTCTTAGGACCCAGGATGGCTCCATACAGACCTGGGAACCTCCCTTCACCCCCTTGCGCACACTGGAGTGGGGAGAGGGGGTGGTGCAGGAGGATATAAACTTCCACAAACCAAGACCTAGTCGCGTTTTGTCCCGGCGATCGATCCCTTTGTTTACATGTACCGACAAGTCCCTGCGATCTCCCTGCGTGGGGGCTGGGGGGGTAGGGAAGAGAGAGCATGTATGAGCCAGCGAGCTCCGCTTCTTTGCGAACAGCAGGTTTGCACCTCGGTTGGTTGTTCGCAAGGCTGATCTTGCGCAGTGAGCGCCGATTCGCAGCTTGAGGTGTTGTGTGAGTGTGTGTCTTGTGTCTGGGGGATTCCTCCTGTCTTGGAGGAGGGCTTCCCGGCTTCCTGGACAAGTTTTAGAATGACATGCAAACGGAGGGACATGGGGGTTATTTCTGAGCTGGGGCAGAGAGGAAGGAGGGGGTGACAGCTGTCTAGAAGTTATGGGGGGCTTTGAAATGTCCTCCTGCTCCCCGCAGATTCGGTCTCCTTTCTCTGCAACGGCTGGGAGGGGCGAACCGCTGCCCCGGCGAGCTTGGGAGCAGGGGGAAAGATCTCCCGGGAATGTGAGATTCACCCCTTGGGTTGATGTGCCTAGACCACCTTCCCCTGCCTTCGGGTGGTGCGAATTGCCATCTGGGAATATAGACTCACCTTCCCTTGCGCTCCTCCTCTCGTATGCTGGCCAACCACACACCTGAAACCCTGTCCCCAATCGCCCCTTTCCAATGTGTATTGGGAACAATTTCAACAAAAGAACCCGTAAAGTGTCTCTAATTCTCAAGGCCCAGTGGCTGGAACAGTCCCACGAGGGTGGTGCTTTCATTCCCAGGCCTAGCCGACTCCTGCCTTCAGACCTCCTGGTCTGTTAATAATGATTAACTATGCTGCGTGGAAAGACAAAACCAACACATAACATCATATCACAAATAAGCCAAGATCAGACCTGGAAATTCCAAATTCCTTTTTACCTCCACGGAGGCGCTTCATTTTTAAACGATCATCATGAGAAAAGTTCTCCCGGACTAGGAACCTCCCCGTGAAACCCACGAAAAGCTAGCCCACCGCTAAAAATGGATTGAAAAGTGACAGCCGCCCACTGGGGAGAGATTGAGCAGCTGAGAGCACTAAGAGGGGTGGTTCCCTGCTACCACTGAAGCGCAGAGCAGAGCTTTGCCATCGTCTTCCATTGGAGCATCACTTCCTCCCCGTCCATGTCTTCCAAAATAAAAAGCGAGTTTACTCCAGATACCTGTATCTACCCTCACTGCACTACTAGCCTGGACTGAGCGCTCTGCGCCAGATTTTCAAAAGAACTCTACTCTCATGGAGGCACCAAAATAAGCGGCCAAATTGTCATGCTGGGTGCTGGACCTCCCCCCCCACTTTTGTTGTTGTTTTTGAAAATCTTGCCTTTATTAACATGCCTAAAGTTGAGCTGGGCTCTTTGGAAAATCTGGTGCTGAGCACTTGAAAATCAGGACCCCTCATCACCTCTTTTGAAAATTTGGCACCACTTCTCTGCATGCCAGTGATTTACACAGGCAGATGGACTGTGGGAATTTGCTGTCACGTCATTGATTGTGGTGTCTAACACAACTCAGCCTCCAAACCTCTCCAGACTGTTGCAGCCAATATGCTTGTCACCAACAGATGTGATGCCAAGGGTTTTTCACTGGAAAAATACTTAATTACTAACAAATACATGTTGCCCTGGATTCCCACAACTGTTTCTGGCAGGGCTAGATTCTGTAGCAAGTCCTCTTCTGGGGCTGGAGAAACCGGCAGCAGTCAGATGAGATTTTTTTATTGATTCTGTCCTGTTCGGCTCTGTTGAGTAAATTAAGCACTTAAAAGGGAAAAGGGGGAAAAAGTAAAAGAAAGAAAAGGAAAATGACACCTCCTCCCTTCAACCGCTAAGCTCAAGGGCTGCAAAAAAGATCCAGTTTGATCTCTTGGATTTTTTAATACAAATTCCTTGGAAGAACTTTAGAGAAAAAATATGAAGAATAAAACAACCCCCAAACAGCATTTTAAAAAGCCATAGTGAGGGGGCCCGATCCTATTTGGGCTAAGCTGGAGAAGTCAATCGAAGTTTTGTCTGAGGACATGGTGGAGAATGGGGCTCGCTGGTTCTGACAAAGTTCCCTGCTGCCTTAGAATTCACCACTGGGGTTTTCTGACAGCATTTCCACAGCTGCTCTTAAGTCTTAACTTTTGCATGTTATGGACAAACACTAATTATCCAGATACATGGACACTCTAATATCAGGGGTTTCTGAGCTGCCGCCTGTTCCCTGAAATATAGAAAAGCTCAATTCTATTCCTCCAAATCTCTAGCAACTTCATTGACTGGCTCTGCGTTGAGACATGGGTAAATTAGAGCAGAATCCGGCCCTTTGTATATAATTGCTAAGTACTAACTGCCCCTCCATTCGCCCTGAAGGA